TGAGAGTTCCCACAGCTCGAGTGGAATAGGCATGTACCATGCAACAGTGAGGGAAAGGACTGAGATTGTCGCGGATCAACAGTGAGGGGAAGGAGATCGTCGCAGCACCAGTGAGGGAACGGAGGGCGTCGCACCATTTTAACTAGCATTCTTGCAGTTTCAGAGCTGTCACCGTGTCACCGTGTCACCGTGCAGTGTCACCGTCAACGTTCCCTTCGTGACGGTGTCATCCATGGTGTGCGTGCCGGAGCCAATACGGAGACAATCATAGTGCGAGTGCAACTGAGCTATACTATGCCCATGAGACGCATGATACTGCTGGTCGAACGGCGGAAATAGTCTGCAGGGATGGGTAAACCCGGCGAATCTCAGGTTGGTACGAGAGACATGGATCATGTGTTGTTCCACGTACGATAGTTTTGCAGCTGCAGAGATTCACTGTCCCTGGGCATGCTCCGCGAGCACTCATATCATGTGTGTGTGTGTGTGTGTGTGTGTGTGTGTGTGTGTGTGTGTGTGTGTGTGTGTGTGTGTGTGTGTGTCACTGTGTGTGTGTAAATGGGTGTGTGTGTGCGCGTGTACGTTCGTGTGTGTGTGTGTGTGTGTGTGTGTGTGTGTGTGTGTGTGTGTGTGTGTGTGTGTGTATGGTGTGTGTGTGTGTGTGTTTTGGTGTTGTTGTTTCAAATCTTTATTCTCACAATGGCCTGTGGCCAATAAGAGATTGTTGTTGTTGTCGTCGTCGTCGTCGTTGTTGTTGTTGTTCGTTTTATGTGGGTAAATTTCCGTGTACATAACGTTCTTACACATGTTTCGGCTTGTTTGATACACCAGACAGGAGCGGAGGAAGCAGTTTTTGATTGGTCCGACCTTACCTTAGCTTAGGGTGCGTTTGGTTGGTACGATCTAGAACAGGAACGAACAGCTCGTGCACATGGAGCAGCCTCATGCCAACCAAACGGTATTCCAGAAACAGAGCACATTTTTGTGAAAAATATGCCAAACGTGGTGCGCTCTTCAAAATGTGTATGGGTCACCATTGTCACTGTGTACGGTACGACGAGTCCAACCCAAAAGCATATGCACGTGATCATTTGGGACCAAAACCGCCGTTCCCGCCAGGTTTCACTGTGAAAAAGTGAAACTGCTCGGTCTGCTCCGGCCTCGAGCAGAACATGTTCTGGCCGACCCAGAACAGGTGCAGTCCCAACCAAACGCGCTGTTCTGGTGAACCCTGTTCTAGGTCGTACCAGCCAAACGCCCCCCCCCCCCCCCCCTAGTGTGCCGGACCAAAATGTTGGCCACCAGCAGGTGTTTACTGGTGAGTAGGGTATGAGTATAGCCTCCACATCCATACTTTGTCTATGATATGCATGCTGCACACATACCATCATCCGGGTTTGTGTGTATGTGTGTGTGTGTGTGTATGTGTGTGTGTGTTTGTATGTATGTATGTGTGTGTATGTGTGTCTGCCCAGTGTGTGTGTATGTGTGTTTGTGTGCGTGTGCATGCCCACATACGCGTGCTCACTGCAGTCGACATTCACGGACGAGCACGGCGACATCATTCTGCTGCTTCTGTGCATGGCCCTTCTGACTTGCCTCGGTCTCCTGCTCTACATCGTCTACACCTGGTGGATGAGGTTGAAGCAAGCACGTGACAAAGCTAGAAGTGGCACGCACCACGTGGCAATGTCTCGACGTCGTATCCAGCGACCCCCGCCCAACATACGTAAGCTACCCTCCAAGTACCGGGATGTGTTTAGCGTGGACCCTGAGGGCGAGAGTGGTGATCAGGACTCCGCCTATGGTGGTGGTGGGGGTAGTGTTGAGGAGGACTCTACGTACAGTGGTGGTGGTGTTGATGACAACCACAACACTCGCTACGTGTACCACGGCTCGTGGAGATCACCTGGCGTAATGGCCGACTACCTCGGTGTGTGTTCACATTGATTACCTAATGCAAGTAATGGTCTGTCCTTATACAGCATATGTATACAGTCAGTGCAATGACATCATATCATACGGCACCAGTGCCATGACGTCATAGTTCCCACACAGTACCATGATGAGATAGTGCCAATGATTATTATGTGCAGTGTGATGACGACATGCTTTGCCATTTCCTTCTAGGCACCGGCGGATTCTGCTCGAAAAGGTGGCAGATTCTGCTCGAAAAGCAGTGAAATTGGCAGAACCATACAAACCTTATGGCGGGCGATTCCTCGAATTCTGCTCCAATTCTTTATCCACATACCAAACATGCATGAAACTTACCAGAAAAAGTACCGAATTCTGCCCAATTTTTCTGCCGGCATTATCCACCGGTGCCTATTTCCTTCCCATGCACATGCATGATGTGTGGTTCGTGTTGTGTGTATATTGGGGTGTCTGCTGTAGTGTATTATGCACATGACAACCCTGCTAGTTTGCTAGAGATGGCAAAGAAGATCGCTTGATTCGCTCACTAGTACGGTAGAGACAAGGAGCCAGATATCTGATC